CTTATTTAGTTTAGTTTAGAGGTTGGAATAACTGAGATGAACCAGTACATCCCATATTGTCCCAAAACTTTACAAAATTAAAAAAAATCTTTCAATGCAGTAAACCATCTGAGGTAGAGTGGAGGTACACTGATGAAGGTGAGAAGGTGCGTGTGTCTGTACGAACTGGACGCATAATTCCTATACCTAAGATGGCGGAAGAAACTCATGATTATAAAGAGAGGTCTTTTTATTTAGGTATGTACAAAATGATTTTTGTAAGAAACTCAAATTGAACAAATAATAACTAGATTTCTGAAAGAGTTTTATGGTACAACCTCCATTTTGTCAGACTTTTTCAACAAACTATAAATGTTACATGGAATTTTAGATAAAAAGTGCCCATATCCAAGGAAAACACATTAAAGAGTTTTGTAAGTGCTATTTTAATATCACATAAATATTTTTCTTTTTTTGCATTTTAAGTGTTATGTTTCTAAAAACAATACTCTTATTAAAGAAAATACAACCTTATGAATACTATAAAGGAAATTAAATTACTTTGTATAGATTAAAATGTCAAAAGAATAGTTCATCAAAAACAAGAAGTTTATTTTGCATTTCTTTGTGCTAGTAATTCATCTTTTGATGATTTATTTACCTATAATCTGATTAGTAAAATTAATTTAAATTGTTATGGATTATATTATTAGTTTTGGCTTCATTTAGCTTCACTTAAAAATGATTCTTTTAGCTGTATAGATTTGCAATGAAATTTTTTAGGAAGACAAAAAAGATCTAGTTATTGAAATCATCCATTACATTAAAGAGGAAATTTTCACAGCTTCTCTGCTTTGAGCTAGAATAATGTTACTTAAACCATATATTCAAGATCAATAAATGTGGTATAAAGATAAATATTTTAACCTTTGGAAATAAATTATAGGTTTATAAATATTATCAGCTATAATGCTTTTAATTCTTAATAAATTAGTTTCTATAGAAAATAATGCTTTAGAGTTTTTCTTTACATATAAGATTTTGTCTTTGGTAACTGGCACTCCTAATGTGTTTAAGGAGTTTCCTTTTTTGATTAATTTTATGTATATATATTTTTTTTGTACAGTTATTCCTCTTATGCAAGTTTGGATATAAAATGTTATGAACAAAACAAGATAGAAATAATATGAAAATAACACTTTTGTAAATTTGTTTCAGAAAATTTGACTAACTAAGACAAAGTGTTTGGGAAGTATTTTACACTGGTGGTGAAAACTAGTTACAATCCACTTGAATTTCAAAAAGTATAAAGAGCTTTGATCTGTTTTTTAATCAAGCAGAACAAAGAAACTTATTAAAATAAAATTAGATTTTAATAACAATTAATTGACTAGAATTTTGAACTGTCAATTTTTATTCACACAGAATAAAGAAAAATGTATCACATAAAATTAACAAAGTTACATTTAACTAATATTTAATGGAACCTATAAAGGAAACTATGATTTACTGTATAGACCCATTGCTGGGTTCTAAATTAAGGGTTTTATTAAAATAGTCATAATATTAGATGGCTCTCAATGCACACTTCTGTCTGTGATCTTGTCTACTTTCTTAAAGAAGTGTATCAATCTTGTTCAATGTACTGGAATAATTTTTTTGAATTCATAGATTGGTTAACATATGGATGAAAAGGTATTGATTTAACTCCTTTAGATTTGTTTTTTTTTTTGTATAGGGAAAATTAGTTCTTATCAAATATGATTATTTTAAATGTTAATAAATCTGTTCCTTATTACTTCATTCTGAAGGTTTGTTTTGGATCCCAAAAGACAAAGGTAAAGTGCTCATATGTATAGACACACACATATATGTATATTAAATTTTATTATTCTTTATACATTTCTAGAACAACCCAAAGACACAAAGTCAGAAGAGATAAGCAAAATTACATTTGAGCCAAAACTAATGACATTTGAACAAGACATCATGAATCACCTTGGCATCAAAGAAGAACGACAGCCTCACAGAACCTACTGGTATTAATTTTTTGCTCATCAGAGTATATGTAGTATTTGGCAAAATGATCAATAAAATACTGAAGTCCGTGTTAGTAATATTGTGTTTTGGAAAATTGAATTGAATTTATAGCCTCTTTGAAACTATTGTGGCAAAAATGTTAAATAAACTGTTACCTGGAGTATTACGTTGTGTCTTTTATATTTCATAACAATGAACACAGTGCAGGTGCTATTGTACAGATTTTGCTAAAACAAACATATTTCTCTTACCTTTCTTAAAAACTTAGAGCATTTACAGTTTTGAAAAACATCTTTTAACAAGCTCATTATTCTAGATAATATTTCTTTAATTTAACTTCATAATATGGTGAGATATTAGTGATAATAAAATGAAACACAGCTGTATTTACACCACTGACCATAAAAATGAGATTCAGTAATTATGGCACTGTCATAAAGTAAAATAAATATGAGAAAAAACATTATTTCTGAGAAAATTTTATACTTCATTTTATAAAGGCTATTTTGCAACACAAAATGCCATTATATATGAACATATTTTTGTGCTAAGCTTCACAGATATTTCTTAAAGTTTTGTGCTTATTATTTGGGAATATGACATTTTTATTCAAGAAGTAACCATGTGCGCATAAGTTGTGGAATGATCACAATTGATCATATATTTCAAGTTCATATGGTTTCTTACCCAAAATATTAAAATGTACATATTTAATACTAATGAGTTTTGTATACAGTTTATTTATGGTAATATCATATGAACAAATGTTATTACTATATTTATGGAAATTAATTTAAAGGTCTTTTGGGCCTGGTAGTTAGGGTGCTTGACTCATAATCTGCAGGTTGTATGACTGAATCCTCGTCATCAAACATGCTCACCCTTTCAGCTGTGAGGACATTAAGATGTGATGGTTAGTCCCATTATTCATTGGTAAAAGAGTAACCCAAATGTTGGTGATGGGTAGTGTTGACTAGTCTATCATTGCTAAATTAAGAACAGCTAGTGCAAATAGCCCTGAAATAGCATTGTGCAAAATTCAAAACAAACAATTAAAAGTCATGTTTGTTTTTCTTTTCAAAACATATTTTACTTACCATTCCTTAGTGAATTAACCTATCCAATACTACCAAAACAAAATATTTTGAGCCATCCATTACATGCGTACAGAACTTTTGGAGTATTTTATCTTAAGGCAACACCAAAGTTTGTCACAAATGAACCAGTATTAGTGTTTGTGAATCCATCCATTACATGTGTACAGAATTTTTGGAGTATTTTATCTTAGGGCAACACCAAAGTTTGTCACAAATTAACCAATATTAGTGTTTGTGAAGCCATCCATTATATGTGTACAGAACTTTTGAAGTATTTTATCTTAAGGCAACACCAAAGTTTGTCACAAATTAACCAGTATTAGTGTTTGTGAAGCCATCCATTATATGTGTACAGAACTTTTGAAGTATTTTATCTTAAGGCAACACCAAAGTTTGTCACAAATTAATCAGTACTGTATTAGTGTTTGTGAAGCCATCCATTACATGTGTACAGAACTTTTGGAGTATTTTATCATAAGGCAACACCAAAGTTTGTCACAAATTAACTATTGTTTGTGAAATGTGATGGCAAATAATATTTCTGTCATAACAGTTGTAAAGAATGAAATTTATGTAATTTGCTCATTTTTAAAAGTGTTTTTCTCCACTACCTCTGCCTTTGGATTTTTGCGTTAACATTCATTAACTGAAGGTAAGGACATAAAATATTACAGGAAAAATTTTAATACAGTTTTGCCTTTCTGTTTGTAATCAAAAGATTTGCTACCATTAAAACATGAACAGTTTTCAAACAGGTATTCACAAAAATGGCTTCATTGTATTTGAACATTTCAGTTTCTTATTATGAGTGTTGTGTGTTTAAGACTTTTTGATAAAAGTATCTATGCCAGTAACTTTTGAGTGAATAATACTTGTTGTGTGATTATTACCAATCTTATTGTTATTTGTGTCACAATTAAATTATGAATATTGATACATTTCCTCCATGGCACTCAATAATTAATAGACAGTCTAAAATCTTTGACATCAAATTGTCATTCAAATACTACCATAACATAAGTAGAAACATTCCCATGGATTAACTGGAATTATATGTCATGTTTTTGAATTAGCTATTAGCAATAGTATTGGTGAGTACCTTGTGGTACTAATAGTTTTTATTTAGAAATAGAAGATAGGTAAAATAAATTAGATTGATGGATTCAATATTTACTGTATCATCCTTCTGTAGATGAATTTTATTGATTAAATTAATGAAAGAATTTCCCAAAGTATTAAAGATTAATTTATTCCCTAATAAAGTTTTTACTGCAATAAGAGAAATGAGTTTGGGGGATTAACAATTTAAAAAAATATATTTTTATGTAATAGAATGTAATACTGAAACTGATAAATATGAACACTGTGTGTAGTAACTGTGATGAAACACCACAAAAAGACCTAAGAAAAACTTAACTATCTCATTTAAGTATGATATATTATGCATTGTCACAGTGTGACTTAAAATTAACTTTTTGTTATAACTCATTTATTTTCGAATTTAATAAATTTACCATCAAAAGACTTCATTTCTAAATCCTTAGAAAGGTTATGAATAAAAACGTTTTATGCATTTTGACCTGAGAATAAAAAGAAAACTTACTGGGCTGTTTTATGTTGCTAGATGTAAATCCAATTGTAGGCATTCAAGTAAATTTTTTATAAACATATATATAATAGCCAAATGTCTCTCTTGCTTTGTATCTGCTGAGCGGTTAATCATAGAATATATATAAATGCATATTTTCAAGGTATTACACGACAACTATTCATTTTTTGTAATTCCTAAAGTTTCATATCGATAACATCAATCCATCACTCTTCATATGTGCTGAATGGTCAATTTGAGAAAAAGAGAAAGTTAACTTTTTTTTTGTGAGGAAATTTCACGAGAAAAACGGGACCTCCCCCATGACTGATTGAAAAATATTTCGAAGATGGGAAAATGCATAAAGAGAGTAACGTGCTTGAGTATATGTTTGTTGTTGTTCGGTTTGTATATATATATTATGTTGGTATTGCATACATGTATGATTTCATTGTACCATGTCGAATAAATTGATTTTAATTGAATATTTTCCTTTGACACTTCTTACACAATTAACACTTGTAAAAAAGCAGCCATTTTGGTAGCGGTCTTTTTTTGCCCTCAGTAAATGACGAGGAACGGTGACATCCTGCGGAAAAAATATTCCTGGCTACTTAGTGAACCTGAGCATTCTATTGTGCTGGATGCATCCATTGCATCAAAAACCCAATGCAATTTCCGTATTTAAATAACACAAGGAATGACAAAAGAAGGTTGTAAACGACCTACTAGATAATCATATTGCATATATGTTCTGATCGGAGGGATTGGGTTGACTGCATATTTTATATTTATTCATCACTATTTTAAGGAAAATTACCGTTGAATTGTTTCAATGGGTATGTGCTAGTACAATAATAAGGATCCATTTAACTTCAATATACATCTTATGACAACATAATCATTCAACAATAATGTATTATTATAAGTCATAAAGAAGTATCAGCTTATGATTATTACAAATTGTTATGTGTATATATATATATGTAGCGTAAGTATTAAAAGAAAAGCAAATAAACGAAATACAGGAACGCGAATTACAGCATCTTATAAATGATACTTTCTACCGAAACTCGTTTGTTGTCACCATTGGTTAGCCGTCTTCCCTCTAGTCTGTTCTCCAGTGCCATAAAGAGCATATATTATGGCATGTAGCCAATTGTGTAACTTTGGGCTAAAACAACCAATACTCTGAACTATCACTTCAGATTTAGATTTGGGTAGCTTTGTGCGAAATCCAACAAGCAAATAAGCTGAAATATTTCTTATCACAAAGTATTAAAAGATAAAAAAGTGACATTATTGGAATTTACAGCTGTAGAAAATTAATGTAAAAGGCTGAAAAAAATGTGTAAAATGATAGGATTTAAATCGTATAAAAATTGGTGTATATCGCTTAAAATAAAATAATTGAAAGGAAGTAATTTGAGCATGTCAACCATGCTTGCAAATAAATGAAAACACGTTTGGCACAGTTTTCGCCTGGAATAAATATTGGTAATGCAAACAGAGTTAAAACAAAAAGTTTTTTATAGCAATTTAAATTTGAGCAAAAAATTATTAAATTGGATAAGCTCTATTTCTCAATTCAAAGTTGATACTGTAAAAAACGACGACCAAAAAATGAAACACTTATGAAAGAAGTATGTATATTTATATAATTCTTCTGAGTGTTCTGAAAGTGTGCAGCTCAGTGGTAAATGAGAGGGAAGAATAAAACCTTGAAAACAAAGCTTCGATGCCCGTAGTTGGCACATACAGTTCAATTTATATATTTTTGTTTACCAATAAATAAACTGATTGAAAATATATTTGAAAATTAAAGAGGCTAACATTTACGGACGAATGCAACATAATTCTGCCACACAATCCCAACATGATCAATTTCGACACCAAAAAAATCGAAAACTGCCTATATCACTGCTTGGGATCTGCAAGAAGGTATCTTTGTACAAAATCCCATCTAGGTTGTTTGACATACACCTGAATGGTTCCACAGACATTCCGCTGTGCCTCTTGGGGGTGGGGGCAAAAATTTTTACATCCAAGTGGTTGGTCCAGTCAGCAACCATATAAGACGAGAATGTTCGGTGACAGAGATTCGAACTCGTAACCCTCAGATTGTGAGTTGCGCGCCCTAACCACCAGGCCCATGAGTTCTAAGAGTGACGGTGAAATCCCATTGTTTGATTACAGTTGGCGTAGGTGCTCTTGACCAACTGCTTCCCCTTTAGTCTATTAACTCAAAATTAGAAACGGCTAGCCCAGCTAACTTTTGTATAGTTTGAGCGAATATACAATGCATACCTATTTACACTATTAAAATTATCGAATTGTATACATTAATAAATTCATCTATATTATTGTATTCAAGATGTTAATGTTATTTAATTTTACTTGCAGATGAAATTTAGAAAGTTTCAGAAATTTTGTGTTTATAAGTTTCACAGTTTAGTTTGGTAATTTCCATTGCATTCAAACTAAAATTTGTTGAAACTATATTTACAGATGTAATAAAACAAAGCGCGATTTTTTGATGAATGAATCTTTACTCAGGAGGAAATTAAATACAAAACATTATTATTTTACCCTGTTAACGAAGTGTAAAGCATGTTTTTTTTAATATTTAACCGAAATAAAAGTTAGTTATTTGTGAATAAAAATACAGCACATAACTCTAATTTAAGCAATTTTCATAAGGTTAATTCAATTTCTTTTGTTTCGCCTAAGGCAGGGGTTACACGTAAAGGGGTGTAACTCTTAACAATCGTTCTAGCCCTCAGAAGAAGGCCAGAAAGAAATATAGTGAAAATAAACATATTTTTTGAAAGTTGGAAACTGAGCCGCAATAATTTGTTAAAATACCATAACTAGTTTTGTTATAATGTTTACAAGTCAAACCTGAAAAATTAATGTAGATCATTATAAACGAAATCTAAAATATTTATGATTTAAGTACAAAGTGATTAGTACAAAAAAGATCAGATTCAAATTTTTCTTGTATGTTCGATAGTTAAAAAAATAAAATAAAAGAGCAATGAATCTGACAATCTTACATGTAAAGTTATTCATTGTCAAAGAATGATCTTTTAGTGTTATTATTGCGCATGCGTTGTGTTCTATTCAGTGCACAACGCCATATTGAGTAAAGACAAACTGAGAAAGTGACGGTCCAAAGTTAATATATTAAACTGCAATTTTCTGTTCCATATCCAGAGAGGAAGCATAGAAGCTGCATTTTCTTAGTGAACATTATTTGGTTTTTATGTAATGTTTTTTAGATGACAAAATGGCTTGTTTGAACACACTAAAGCAAGATATAAAAACACTAGAACTGCATTTCCCAAAATCTCATGAAAGGTTTCAGGTGGTTGCAGCTTCGGTCGATGAATTGACTTGTCGATTTGTAGGAAAAAATGGAAAGAAATATGAAATTCACGCAAATATTACAGTAAGTTGTCGTTTTACTATATTTCGAAGTTTGAGTCACAACAAATTAGCGAAGTTCAGACTATTAATTTGATAATTGAGTTTGATAAGCATTAACGTTAGGCCTATGCAGCATTATGCTATTGACTTGTTAAGAAGTGAGAACTGAAATATTATTATTATTAATACTAATAGCTACTCACTAGTATTAGTAGTATACTGTTAGTAATACTAATAGTAATATCACTAGACACGTTTTGCTTTTATTTCTTATAATTAGTTTTAATGTATATTGTTTGATATATTAAATGAATGAACATGGATATAATAATATATGTAAGTGTAACAAAGTGTTTAAGTTTTAAATATTCATTAAAATTAATATGAAAATATTTCATAAAATTTGCATTGGTTACAGCTAGCATGATACAATTTCTAATACTATATAATAAGTAATTAGTGCTATGTGAAATGTACACTATTTTGCATAACTTGTGTAAATTACAAAATTTGCATACTTTTAATATTTGATGATGAGGAACCCACTTTGAGACTATTAATGGTTGGAGATGGCTCGAATGGGTAATGAAGAAAAACTCTAATATAAGTTTAACATAACAGCAAATGTACAATGTTTCAACAAGGTTTTGTCATCATCAGGAAAGAATTGTATAAGCATTGTAATAAACATTGTGCTCTCATTACTTCTATACACCATTCCATGTTTTATGCAGAATAAGATCCTTATAACCCATCATGCTGAATTCACCTGTTGAACAGACTACCCTTTGTTAATTTATTATACTGGATCACCATGTTATGCAGGATTTATCCATTTTGTAAAGTCAACCTGCATTTTAACTTGTATGGTAATTCAATATGCAGTGTCAACCTTTTATGCAAAATACACCCATATTTTAACTTATGCAGAATCAACATCTTTCTAGTGTCAATAAATTGTGGAAATTATGTGAAATAGTACATTCTGTGCTAGATCATACACCATAATATATGTGTTTAAAGCTCATTAAATTTGAGGTAACTGTTCACATCAGTTAGTTTTTAATATTACCCAAAAGTTTATTTGTTTAAAGATAAGTGAATTGTAGAAAAAACACATACTACTTGGTAAATCTAGATGCTCATTAGGGCTTTGGATAAAGAAACTAATGCAAAGTTATGTTGATGATGGTAAATGTGTGTATTTGTTGTATCTGGATTTTTAGAAAGCATTTTACAAGGTGCCACATAATTATTGAAGTTCTCTGTATAGATGTGGGTGATAAGCTGGTTCATTGGAGTGAAAAATGACTGAAAGAAAAAAGCAGGATTGTTATAAATGTAGGCAAAGTGGATTAATTACATAAGTGAGGTATCTTGGTGCTCAGTGTTGGAATTTTTGCTTTACCTCAGTGCTATAGATAAGGTCAATAGATTGCTTAACCCTTTCACTGCTGCAATGAAAAAAAAAGATAAATTTGGTCTTGGATTTTTCTGCCTGTGAGGATGCTGTTGATCTACAAAAGGATTTAGGTCATTTGGTGGGTTGGGTAAATAGCCAGCAGATGGTTTTTAGTTATAATGAATGCAAGATAATGCATGCATGTTATCATAATTTACATTATAAGTGTAATTTTGATAAGAATGACCTTAACAGCATCATGGAAAAAAGTCTTAAGCCATTCAAGCTGTGTGCTTTTACTAGTGGTAAGGCAAATATGAGTTTGGGCCATATTCAAAGAAATATTAAATATAAACCTAAAGAGGTTAGGTCTCTTTTGGAGTATTATGTTCAGAGGAGGGTACTAGAATGATACTTGAGATGGAGAGGTTGTCATACAAGAACAGGTTAAGATCTCAGAAATGTTCTCTGAAAAAAGTTACAGGGGGGGTCTGACTGAGGTGTTCAAGATTATTAAGGGAGTTGGTAGTACTGATGCATCATCTTTTTTTCATATTTAGTGGTGAGAATATTAGGACAAGGGGACACATACAAATTTTGCCAGGTCAGGAGTCGTATTCAATGCACATTTTTACTTTTTTAGCAGGATGGTTGGCCTTTGATATATATATATATTGCTTTCTGATGTGGTGGATGCAAGTAAGTTTAAAGGAAGACTCAAGACTCAATTTAAATGATCAGGTGTTATCCTTTACATGTTATGTAAATAACATAGTGTAAGTCTATTAAAATAAATAAATCATCAGAGGGAGCTACGAGAATATGAAGATATTTGAAAGCTAAGATCTTGAAGTTATCAAATATCTTACTTAAGTCTGTTTAAAGAGTTGATTAATAATCTTATTTGTAGTAATTAGTGTTAATTACTAAAAAAGATTAGTTTGGATAAGATTGGTAAATAATAGTATCAGGAAAAAAGTGCTAAGGCTAGATGTATTACAAATGTTAGATTAAATTTAAAAAGTGTAATGCATCTTTAGTCATAATTTAGTTTATTGATAAGTTATAAAACAAGATAAATATATCACATTAGTACATAAGTATCATCATCTTATTTTAAAAATAAACTTAATTACTTTAGTGAGAAGATAAGGTAGAGATAGAATATTATATTTAACTCAAATGTTAAGCTTAAGGGTGTTGTCAATAGGCTACTTGTATTTAGTGTTGATTATTTATTTCCAAGCTACAATGGTTAATGGTTAAGAGTAGTGAAGGTGTCAAATGCTCTTACTTTGTAAAGTGCACAAAGTGCAATGTGTGGGTTTTATTTGGGAGTTGAGGACTGGAATACACTTTTAAGGAAGCTAATACTAGTAGTAGTAAAGATACGCAGCTTGCAATTTAGAGGAGAAACTAGGATATCCTAAACAGAGTATAGGTGACAGATAGAAAAAGGTATACTGTGGGAAATAGCAGCAGGATTTCAAGAGGAACTTAAGCTCTTGTATTTATATAATGCATTAGCTAATAATGACTTTCAGGGAGTTAGAAACAGTAATAATAGGGCTATAAGTAGTGAATTTAATTGTAATGAGCAGATTCTATTAAGTAACAGATTTCATCCTTCTTGTGCAGATAAGGAACTAGAAGAGGGAAGGAAAACAAAAGGAATAGATAGGAATAGCAATGATAAACATAGGGAGGTTATAGTTATAGGTGATCCTTTAGTATAGCATGTGGACAGGATAATGTGTGGGGTGATAATGTAAGGGTGAAGGATATAATTGGCAGAGTAAGGGATATAGTAAAGGGTGTTAGCAGTGATGAAGTCTTTGTAGTGCAGTTAGTGGCTAATGATTTAGGAAAGGGTAGGTCATAGGAGTTAATTGATCAGTACAGGTGATTGATTAAGGTATTTAAAGGAAAGGGCCGATGTAACTTAATTCTGTCTGGAATATTGCTGAGACATAATTGTGGGGATGAAATAAGTAGGTCACTGGGGTTAACTGCAAGACTTAGGTTGATAAATAAAGAAGAGCAGGTTGGCTGGTTGTATTTGTGGGATCCGTTCAATGGGAAAAGGGAGCTTTTTGGGATGGATGGTTTGCATTTAAATAGGGTAGGGGATAGCCTGTTTGCAAGGGCTATTAATACAACTGTAAAGAGCAGACTTAAAGTAGGATTAGACAGTGGTGAAGGCCAAAATAATGAAAGAAATAAGATGGTGAGAAAATTATTATGTAGGAATAAAGTACAGAAGTAATTTTAATGGTAGGCTGAAATGTTGTTATTGTAATGCTAGAAGTATAAGAAATAAAAGATGACTTTAGAGTATTAGTTAGAGGGTTTTGATGTAATTGGAATAACCAGAACCTGGTTAAATGTAAACAATTTTGTTGACAGGAAATCGTTTGAAATACAGATCCATAGGTTATTTAATAGGGTTAGAATACTTGGGCTCCTTATCTTGGGAAGGTCATTGAATTGTTGGGAAGAGTTCAAAGGGCTACAGGATGATATCTTAAATGGAATGGTTGTAAGTCTCTGAAATTGATTTCTCTTGAAAAAATAATTAGAGGGGAACTGATTGAGATGTTTAAGTTTGATAAGGTAATTGATATTGTTGATACATTATCTTTTTTTGTTGTTGTTAGGGGAATTAATAGCATTGATGCATAATCTTTTTTGTACCTAATGATGAAAAAAATGTATATAGCACTAGGGAACACAGATATCAATTTTGAGAGATTAGTAGTAATTTTTATTTTTCTAACAGGATGGTTGGCCTTTGTAATTGGCTGCCTTCATATGTGATGCATGCAGTTTAAGAGAAGGCTTGATAAATATTTGAATGATAAGGGCTGGCTGCAAGTATATTATTTTTATTTTATTTTAAAGTTTATCTTGAGAGATGGGAAGGCTTAGCTAGATCAAAAGGTCCCTTGTTGTCCATGTATAGTGTTTGGCAGACATAGCCTTTTACTGTTCAACTATTGCAATAAATAGTACCTTAATAATGATATTGTGTCAAGTATTTGATGTGAACAACTAACATATAGTTGGACAGATTGTAATCACCACCTTTTGTATTTTTAACATCATCTTAGGACTTAGGTGTATGTGTAAGGTTAAGTATGTATTTAATAATGAAGAGTTCATTTTTTTCTAAACCAATATTGCCTGTAGATTGGTATTCATAATATAGAGACTAACATAAAAGTCTAAAAATTTTACAAAGAAATAAAAACACTTAAACATTTTACTCAGATGGATTTTATTGGCTACAGTGCTGTATGGTAGAATTTTCCCTTGAAGGTTTTATTTCACTGGTAGTTTTGGTCTAGGACTTTTTTAATATTTTGGTTTTATAAGAGCTGGTATATCTGGAATAATTCTTGAGATTTACATGATGATATAAGTAAAATAAAGCAAACTTTTTGGTACAACATATCTTATCTGTAGTTGTAATACAACTAAACATTAGCAGAGGTAACCTAATATTTTGTACTGACCTGATTTCAGAATTGCTCTACCTCCTGTGGGTGACACGTGATTTATTTGATACACTAACACACATTTGGTTGTATGTTTTTTTGTTCCTTTCAATAAAGCATTATGTAATACAGGTATTACTCTTCTACCTTTGTAATGCTAAAGAACTATGATATTCCTCCCAGATACTTCAGAAACAAGTCACAAAAATACTTGGGACATATAAATAAGTTTCATTGAAGTCATTAAAGTTTGAGAAAGTGGTAAATAGAGACAATAAGCAAACACTAAGTGTTCTTGCAATAGAAGTAGAAATTGTTTAAGTTGCTTTCAGGGGATAAAAATGTGTATAATAACTTTACCATCACCATACCCACATTTCTGAATGAAATTTGCATTAGCTGTGTCATTAAATTCAGAAAAAGCACAACTCTAAAAAAAGGAATATTCATGAGGCTTTGTCATTCTGTAATATTATCTATTGATGCTTTTGAACATTCAGGCTAATGTGAAATATATACCTGATTTGCAAACACTTAAGTAGATAGAAAATGCAGATTATACAGAAGTTTATCCTTTCAAATGCAATTTGTTAACAGGGTAATAGATACAGTAGAACCCTGTTAAAGTGTGTCCCAATATAAAGAGAATTTGGATATAATGAGGTCAATGTTTGGCTCCTTATTTTGTGTTGCTGTATTTGTGAATTTTGACAGTATTGGACCAGTACATGCATAACTGTTGTGACCTATAAGCACGTGTCTGATAAACAGATTATTCATAACGTGACCATGCAACAAGAAGCAGAGCCAGAGTTTACCAAAGAAGACAACAATTATAACATGCCAGCCCCACCTCCCATGGTCACTGAAAGAATAGAACACGTTGAAGCTAGTCTTCGATGGCCTGAAAGCCAAGATGTTGATAGCATACACGTCCTGCAGTTAAGAAGCATACTAGACTTTGCTCGTAGCCAGAAGTCAACATTAGATGATCTTTTGCAAAAATAAACAGTGGATTTTTGAGACACTTTACATGTTATTACAGTTATTTTTATTGGCTGTAAGTTTTGTGTGCTTGATTTCTGTTCTTTAAAGTTGGGCCTATGAAATGTTTGCAATATTCAGCATTTTATTTTCATGAACCATATATTTGTTCATGTGTTCGTTCATGCAAAACAGTAAATGTACTGCATTTAAGTATGTCAACAGTGAAATTAATAAACACAATCATGTGGTAATTTTTGACATACCTAGTTTATGTAGTGAATAACAATGCAAGGGATATAGAAAATGACCATTTGTGGGTACCCCAAAATAATAGCAAACTGTGCCATATTGTCAAGTTATGCTAACACAAACTTATATTAATATTCAGTTAAGTAAAATAACCAGAATGTAGCTTTGGAAAACAGAGTTGTATTGTTGGTTCTTTTCACAAAGTGAGCTTATATAGACACAAGTACACACACGTGTAAATAAATGTTTATGAATATTTAGGTGATGATCTGGGTAATTCAGTTTGGATGGAATGGAGTACAATTTTCTTTTGATGAAAGTACAAAGTCATTACTGTTAGTGTGTACACTTTTATACTGTGGATGGGGATGAAAATAAATAAAATGACTTTTTCTTGTACAAGAAGCCTATGTATATTTTAAATAAACATATTTTATACAAATGACTTAGTAATTTTTGTTGTTTTTTCTTTTTCTCATCTATTACTTCCAGTGTATCATCCATATTTTTGTCCTTTAGTCCATACTTTAAGTTGTCTCTATACTGGATAGATTTTAAGTTTAACAGTGTTTGTTCTTTCTACTTAACAGAAATGGAAGTGACTTCTTTTTTACAGGAAACTTATCCATCAACCCCACCAGTTTGGTTTGCAGAAACAGAGGAGTCTAGTATAACTACAGCTGTACAGATGCTTAGCAACACCTCAGGGAGAGACAACTTAGTATGTTTAAAGTTGAATTATCAAGATTAGATACAAGTTGTTTAATCTTGGAATAGATATGTTAATAATGGTCTGGTTTCACCATAGATTTACTAAATGTATATATATATATCATGATGGGGTTTCATTAAAAATTGTAATGTTTATAAAAAGGATGATCCAAATGCATTTTACTGAGGGATTTTGCCCTTAAATATTCCTTTGTACAGTTGTACCAGTTTATTTTCTTTGTCTCAGGACAAAATATTCTAAACTTCTGATTTGCATAACTTATACAAATGATTGAATAACAGTTGTTCACACTAGTTTCCCTTCCCTGCCTTTATTTCCAGCTAAACAATCATTGATGTCATACTGAACCCACACGTTTTTCTTCTAATGTTGTGATTGGTTGTAATTAGAATTCTTATTTATGTAAAGTACATCTCACATCATGTGTTGGAAATTACCAAGAATGGGTAACTAATGAATAACAGTTGTTCACACTAGTTTCCCTTCCCTGCCTTTATTTCCAGCTAAACAATGGTTGATGTCATACTGAACCCACACGTTTTTTTCTAATGTTGTGATTGGTTGTAATTGGAATTCCTATTTATGTAAAGTACATCTCACATCATGTGTTGGAAACTACCAAGAATGGGTAACTAATGATGTTAATATAGATGGTATTTGGTCCCTTCTGGAATACAACAGTGACACCCCACTTGTTGATAGGTGAATGCAAAAACATTCACAAGGGTACATGTATAATGTTGATCTATTGTTAACTCTTACAAAAATGAACAAAATGACTAAGAATAACATTAAAATAAGTGATAGGCTTGGACAGATATTTATATTAAAAGTAAAACTGTTCCCATCCTCTCCATATCACTAATACTTTCAAAACTTTTTGAGGTAAAATATTTTAAACTTTTCATTTTCATACTTAATGAATACTGACATGAAAGTAATGCCAAAGTATTTTACTGTAGTAACAAACATTGCTTAACTATACAAGAAACAGTTTATTGTTGTTTTTCCATGTTCTAGTGAGCTCAGTATCCTCTAATGCACCAAGCACCAACTTAGACATAATAAAAAAAACCAAAAAACAAGGAAACCAAAACTGTATGCAATGCTCAAGGTGAGGCTTAATCAATGGCTTGTGTAAAGACATTCGCCTTTTTTTCTTGTCGTGTAATTAATATTTCTGTAAATGTATCCTAAAAATTCTTTATCTTTAAAAAGCATGCCTTAGTGACTTGACCAAATTTATTATTATGCCAAGATAATTTTCTTCAGTCACACTGTTGAGTGTGTTTTCACTCATATTAAAAATGTAAACCAAATTATGATCAGATAAATGCATTACTTTGCACTTACTATTAACTATCTACATGATTTAGCTCAATTCCAATATTTCCCAATGACCTTTGAGGAAAATGTTAAAATTAAATATGTATTTGAGGACCTACAATATCATAAATATTGTAGCAAAACAAAACTGTGGAAGACAAAAGAACTAATGTATCCTTAGTTTGTTAATGATCTCCATTTAAGCCTCTTTCACCTGTATTGGATCCAGTATGAAATTTTTTATCTCAATACAATAGGAACACCATTATAAAACTGGATAATACAGGAACCAGAAGTTTGCCATTAGCTATTTTACCCTGTAATACACTATATAACATTGCTGATACAGCAAGATCCACTTAGTTTCAAGGAGGAAGTAAAGTGCTCACATGTCTAAATGCATCCTAGGCCACTTCTGTATTTCGTGTCAGATCAGCTGCTTGTTTCCTCACCACTGGACAACTATATATACCTTTATTGGTCTTTTTTTGGCTTAACAGTAAACTTTCATTGACCACCAGCTTAATTTTACATTTCCAAAGGATAGGAAGTCATTTGGCCTATTCCCATTTTATACTACTACTAATTTCAAACTACAAGTAGAAATCATTTTTCTTAATTAAATGCTATTCCCTAAAATACTTATCCGAACTTCTTTTTAACTTTTTCAGTGTTGCAGCTTCTACCACATCTGAAAGTAGACTATTTCATAGGATGGCTGCCTTGTTAGAAAGATAACAATGTCTATTAGGAGTTTTGTCTGAATTTTCCATATTTTAAAACTTTGTGTTCTATAGTTTGCTGCTTTAATTTTCATGTACGTAACATGGATTTGCAGATTCCAAGCTTCTAACAGTATTGAAAACTTCACTCATGCCCTTCAAGCATTTCTTGCCAATAAAACCATGCCAAGATATTTCTCTCCAATAAAACCATGCTAAGATATTTTGACCTATCCCCTTATGATATATATTTTAAATCCTCCTGTTAGAATTTTTCTTAACCCTCTCCAACAAATCAACATTTTTTTTTCCAACAAAGTTCCTGAAACTGAACACAAAATTCTAGTTCTCATGTTCTTTGAATCATGTACAAATAGCCAATCAGTTTCAGTGGTTTAGCATTGACTAGTAATTTAACCATTACTGACATGCATCCTTTATGAACTTTATTTGAAATTTATAATGACAAACTTTTCCATGATGTAGGATTATCTTAACTTATGTAGCTAAATAAACTTTGGTAACCATCTAAACTAGATTTAGTCATTTTTTTTCATGTAGTAATGATGAAGATAAGGAAAGTTCCTTTAAGAAAATGTAGAGCTACTAGTATGTTTTTTAAACATTGGTCTTAAATATAGTATATAACATGCAGAGAGCAAAATGTTTTTTATATTAAACAGTTATGGAGAAGCCTTGTTACCATTATGGAAGAAGAATCCCTACAATTAAAGCTAACTTATGAAAATTGTCAAACTGAATTTTTTTCTTAGAATATAAAGACAACTTGCACAGAGTGACATTTTCAGAAAATATTTTTAAAATTTTGCATGCGTTATAAATAGATAATGATAGTAGCAATCTTTCATGTATTTAATAAAAAGTTTGTAAAATAACTTTACTGATCTTATTTCTCAAAGACAAATCATTACAGTATGTCAGTTAGTTGTCTTAAGTTGACAGAAAATATACTTAATATTTTGAAGAGGAAATACTCTGTTAAATAGAAGTATCATTTATTCATTACTATAGTACAGTAAAATGTTGAAATTAGACCTTAAAATTAATATTTGACCCATTAATTTTTAAATGGTGCAAATATAACGGATCAGTATATATTGAAAGAAGAAAAATAAGATAAAATACTCCAAACAGGTTTATCAAATAAAACTTAAAAGTTGAATGTTTTAGATTAATGGGTTAACCACAGAAGGTGAATATTATACATGTATGATCAAAAATATGCAGAAATTTACTAGCCTTGGTACTTCATGTCTTTAATTGTGAGTGGTGTCTAGAAAACAAATTCACAAAATATGTTAAAATGTCATTAGTATAGTAGAATAATAATTTCCTTATGTTGCAGAAATTACAGTTAAGCATTTACAGAAATGACTAAAGCTCATGAGATAGGTTGGTTAGAGTAATGTTCCTTGCTGATATTATTAGATTTAGCAATATATTAATTTCCAGAAACTTAAGGTGTCAAGATAAAAATTTATTCAAATCAGACTTGCCTCTGAAATACGGAAAACATTTCCTTGTGAGTTTGAACTTATGCTGTAAACAAAACATGTGACTTAAATTTTTTTTTTTTATATTGCAGAGCATGATCATTTACCCGTAATTGTGTGATTGCTTGATTTGCTTAACATTCAACATTTTCTTTTGTTTTGATGAAGGTCAGTCTTTTGCTCTGGCCTTCAGATTCTGCAGAGCTAGAATTGTCAGCCATTCTTGATTTCCTGATATTGTTTCTATTGCCAATTTGCTTTTATGTTCCTTCGACACTTTAGCCTGTTGGGCTGCGTTGCAAGGTGCTCATCTTTTAATCGACTGACTTCGATATATGTACATGTGTATAAATCTCTACTTCATTGAAGGTATTTCATTTTAACATATTTTTTTATTCAGGGAAAGCTAGTCATTCAGAGTTGATTAGGGTTTTAGAATATTGTTTTTTATCTGGATATTATTCTTTTCCATGTTGTTCTATGTGCTATTATTTCATTATTTGTGTCAATGGTTTGGCCATCCTATGCTTGATACATTAGTAGTGGCAGTGCATTGTCATCTGATACTTTTCTGATTTCCATTTCTAGGTCAAGATTTCCTAGCAGTGGAGTCTTTAGGACTGTCATGGAATACTTTTTTCTCTATGCCTACCCTCTTCTTCATCTTCTTTGTCTGGTATTGGCCATGATTAGTTGGTTCCATTGTCTAGTTGTTCTTATTGCCTCGTTCATGATCAGAGCTTTGCTGCTTTTAGTTACCATAAAAGTCGTGCCTTTATAGGGCCCCATTTTTTTCAGGTTCTTTTGTGAGCTTTTTGATTGTATCTCCTACAAGTACCTTGACACTGTACTCAGTGATATTCAAGTTTGGTCTTAAATTGCCTGGCATCTTCTTTTGAATACTTTGCAACTTGTTCAGTCTACTGGTTTTTTTCCAGGAGGGCTTTGTACTTTATATATGTTTTGACAGGGCCTTCCCACCAAAGAACTTGGATTGTGATGGATTATCACTACCATTTTTTTTCCTATTATGTTACCTACTCTGATTTATTCCAACTCTTCTTCTGGAGGACATTTTCTGTGTATGGTCAGAGCTGTTTGTTCTTGTATTGCAAGAGTGGAATCTTTTGAGGGGATCAGTTTCGGTTGTTGATTCAGTATGATGATTCTTGATCCATTTGTTTATCAAGATTTTCCAGACAACCTTAAACATGAACTTCAGGTTGCATCTAATCACATTTGTCGTTTTACTATGTCTTTGGCTTTCTAGTCTCAGAGACCTGCATGGAGATGAATCTGAATACTTTTTTTTGCTGTTTTCCTTTGTCACATTGCTATATCTTTTTTCAGGATGTCTGTGATTTTGAACATTTTTTGACTTCAATAAGAAAAATAACAAAACAAAACAAGAATAATAAAATAATTA